GGTCGGGAGGTCCTAGTTCACTGGAATCCGCTCCTCCAACGGCGCCCTCCTCCTCTCTGATCGGAGAAGACATTATCTCCCTTCTCGGTAGACGAAAAATCTCCTGGAAAGGGGTTTTATTTTCAGACTTTGCTTCTTGTCAGGCCCACTCCATTCCATAATTAGGAAAGAAAACTAAAAGACTCCATGGGTTGGAAATCAAAGTACTTTTACTAATTATAAATGGTAAGCAAGCAGTAGCAAAGCAAAGTCTGATTAATATGGCGCGAAAGCAATTGATATATAGGATAGCCCGTTCCCCCCCCTTAGGATCAAAGCTCCAGTCCAATCATAAGTCCTTCAAATGTCAGGTGTGAGATAACTTCAAAAAGACAGGCCAAAGATGGAATGTGAAGGCCGTTGATGCAGGCGGGAAACACATACGCATGCGTAATCCCAACGACTGGTACATCCTAGAACATTCCTCCAGCACCCCCATTAACCCCTCCCAAATCCACGCCCCCCCCCTCCCGTTTCATGGCAGCTGAAGCAACAGCAAAGCAGAAGCTGACACCCCCCCAGCGTCTTTCCAGCATTTCTCTCCCCAGAGAGAGGCTCAAGCAGACTGACATTTCTTCCAACCATCTGACCCTTTGGCCGTTCTTTTGTCCTGGCTATACAGGCTGACCTCCTCAGGTCTTCCAGCGCTGGGCTCTTCTCCAAATTTCCTGCCTCAGGTTGGCTCCCGACCTGCATTTTCTCTGTTTCTGTAGGTGTCCCACCAATTCCTGGAAGCTTTCCAACTGAATGAGGACTGTCAATCTAACTTCCTCTTCTCTCACCGGAGATCCTTACAATTAGGCAGTATTTTCCAAGGTATTTTGGATGTTGCCACCTCTCCACAGAATAACCGAGTTGGAAGGGACCTTGGAGGCCTTCTAGTCCAACCCCTTCCTCAGGCAGGAAACCCTGGAGCCCTAGAACATTCCGGACAAATGAGTGAAGGGCTGACCAGGTTTTTCTTGAAAACCTCCAGTCATGGAGCATCCACTCAGGCAAGTTCCCCTTGCTTCTAGGTTGCCTCCCTCCTTGATAGGTTCCCATCATCCCTTACTTAAAGGGGGTGGGGCTGCTCCCCCCTCCCCGGACTAAACTGGAGCAACCAGGACGTGGGCAAACTGCAAGGGCAAAACGTCTGGCATCTGGGGCTCCCCACCCACACCTCAAACCCCTTCTCCCTTCCTCTCCCGAAACAGAAAATAATGAAGGTTAGTAGAAGTGAAGCTGGACTCCATTTAGACAAGCAGACAAATGAGGAGAAGGGATAGGAGGAAAAGGATGAATTGTACTTGTGGTTATAAGTCTACAGAGAATCATTAAGACTGCCCAGAATATCAGGGGGCTCCAGCTACCAGCCCTGGATGACATCTTCTTCACATCTCCATGTTTGAGGAAGCTGCATAACATTCTGACTCTTCTTCCCATCCTGCTTACCATCTTTTTAGNCCGCTTCAGCTTCACGGTGCTTTCCAGCCCTCTCTCAGCAGTTTACAGAGTCAGCCTCTTGCCCCCAACAATTTGGGTCCTCGTTTTACTCACCTTGGAAGGACAGAAGGCTGAGTCAATCTTGAACCAGAGAGAATTGAACTGCGATTGGCAATACTGCATTCTCACCCCTCACCCCTGGGCCACCGCGGGGCTCCTCTAACTAGTATAAACAATGCAAAAGGCCACAACAGATCAGTCCGTCCTCTTCCCTCAGTCCCACTCCGTGTGAAAAAGTCATAGGGTCGAGTTCCCAGAGTGCCTCCTTCAGGCAGAAAAGGGGGGGGGGGAGAAGATACCGGCAGGTCAGGCGTCCAGGAGAGCCATCTCGGTGCCAGATTGGGGGGGGGGGGCGCCAGGGGGAAGGAAAAATTCGGGCCAAAGCCACTTCCCCAACTCCCGTTGTTTATGATGCCACCCCGATCTCGCAGCGTTGGGGGCTGCCCTCCTTCCCCCAAAGAACTGGGCTCCCCATACTTTGGTTCACTGTTCAACCTCCCCTCCCCTCGCTCCTTTTTGGTGGGGTAGTCCCGGCGTGGCTCTCAAGCTCCCACGCGCCCCTTCCTCTCCCCAGGCCGAGATGGAGGTGCCGATTCCCAAGTACTTCGTGAGGGAGCGGGCCAAGGTCCTGCAGGAGCGTCAGGAGGTGCTGGCGGGGCTCCTGGCCCGCATGGAGCCCTCCAGGGCCATCCCTGTGAGTGCCGATGACCCCCTCCCCCCTCCCGCCCCCCCCATTGGCCCCTGGCTGAGCAGCCCCTCCTCTCTCCCCAGTTCCCGCACTCTCTGATTCTGCGGGACGAGGCGGTGAGGCTCATTCAGATGGCGGAGCGGATGCGCCAGGGACGCCTCCGGGCCCACTTCATGGCCGAGATCCGGAGGGACGAGGAGCGCGAGCGGAGGGTCAAGGAGGGAGGCCCAGACGAGCCCAACCGAGACACGGCCGCCATCTGCATCCAAAGAGTAAGGACCGCTATGGGCCCTTCCAGCCCCCGCCCCCGCATGGCACCGCCTCCCCCCCCAAAAAAGCTTCATTGCTTCGAACCTCCCGAAGGTCCCCCAAAGCATGGAAACCCCCCTGAGCTCAGGGGTCTCCCGGCGCCAGAGAAGGCACCGCCCGCCCGAACGCAATGACGGTTGTCGGGGCGGTTTAAGGCTTTGGGGGGAGTTTCGGGGGGTCCCCCAGAGGCGCAGAACAAGCCCCGTTTCTTTCGCCCAGATCTGGAAAGGCCACGTGCAGCGAAGGCTCAGCAGGGTAGCGCGCACGGCCGAGATGGCCTTCATCGGCATGGTGAGCGCAGCGGCCGCCGGCGGGCAACCCTGGAGGGAGGCGATGGACAACCGGGGATGGGAGGGGGCAGGACCAGCCGACGCCAGACAGGCGCAAGGAGAACCGTCCGGATCCCCGTCGCATCGCGCGGAGACACCCGGGCGCGCCGCTTGCGGTCCGCATCCCGAGCCGAGGCAGTGGCCGGCAGCCCTTCTGCGCGGTCCCCGCCTGCCCCGCCGCCCCCTCCCATTAGCGAGTGTTTAGTTCAGCGTTTTAAATAATTGTGTCCTCGGAATGATATTTAAAATCCATTTGGGGCGCAATGAGGCGGGAAAGTGCCTGCGCGCCGCGGCCGCTGCCGGGCAGGGAAGCGCCGGGCGGGCATATTAGAAACTCATTACGGGGTAATTTACGCCTGGCGCCCGGATCCATTTCTCCTAATGGCCTCTCCGGACGCCCCCACCCCGCCCCCGCCCCCCCGCCGCTCTTCCCGCCCCCTTCCAAGCCCCACAGTCCAGCGGACGCAGCAGAAGCAGCCCCGTCCCGCGCGGGGAGACGCTGACGGACCCCGTCCCGCGCGCAGGAACTGGAGCCGCACCTTGCGGGCCCAACGCCAGCCACGATCCGCGCCCAGCTGTGCGAAGAGCTGCGCCGGATGCGCCAGGCGGACTACGAGGCCGAGTACCGGGAGGCGCAGGAGCGCATCCGAGAGTCCCTTCTGGAGCTGGAGGCGCCCAACATGCGCGTGCAGCTGCGCGAACAGCTCCGCCAATGGTTCATCGAATGCCGGTGAGAGGGAGGGGTGGGGGCGCGCGGGAGGGGGTCTCTTTTCCATTCCCTCCCTCCCTCCTTCCCTTTCTCCCTCCCCCACCCTTCCTCCCTCTCTCCTTCCTTCCCTTTCTCTCTCCTCCTCCCACTCCCTCCCACCCTTCCTCCCCTTCCCACCCTCCCTCCCTTCTTCCCTTTCTCTCTCCTCCTCCCTCCCTCCCTCCCTCCCTTACCTGCCCACTGATGCCTGGAGCCTCACCCTTCATCCTGCTCCCTGCAGTGACCTGACTGGCCGTTTCCCCGACTACCCAGAGGAGGAAATTGGGGGCTGCGAGATCCTTTTTGCCCAGAAGACCCCTGAAGAGGTAAGGGGTGGGCAACTAGCTCTGGGGACGGCAAGGCCATCGCTGCTCCACCTTGCATGGCTGAGAGCCCCCTCCCCATCTCCCCTCCCCGTCCCCAGGTGAGGGCTGAGCTGGACCTGGCGGAGATCAGGACGGAGAAGGAGCCGAAGGAAAAGGCGGAGAAGGAGCCGAAGGAGAAGAAGGAGGAGGAAGAGAAGAAGAAGGGGAAGGAGAAGAGATCGGTGAGGTGGGGGCCTTTGCTGCCTTCTCCCCCCCCCCACCTTTGGGGAGGCAGCTGCTCGAAAGGCAGCACTGAGGCTCTGGTGCATCATCACCCCAGGAGGAAGAGGAAGGGCTGAAGATGGCTCCCTCCAGGTTCCTGCCCACCATCTATCAGGGATTCCTGCGGTACACGGGTGAGCAGGAAGGGGTGGGGGGGTTGTCTCACACTCCCCCCCCCCTGCAGGAGTTTCTCTGGAAGACCAGCTGGGAGAGGCAGGGGGCAGGTGGCGGGATCTCTGCCCTGGGCCGGGCAAAGGCCCTCCCTCTCCTGCTTCCTTTGGAGGCCCTTGGGCTGCCTGGGAAGCCCAGTGGCAGGGGGGAGGGGGGGGGAGGTGGGGGCTTGCCAGCCTGCCAGGTCCAAGCTCCCTCCTCAGTTGGGGAGGGGGCTCATGGGCTGCAGGCATGCCCAGGCCCCTTGCCCTTCCTTAGGCTGCTGGAGCGAGAACGACGAAGCCACCAACTTTGAGCAGCGCTACCAGCCGGATCTGATCAGGGTGCAGAAGAGGAGGGAGATGGAGACCGAAATCCGGCTGCAGGTGGGCAGCCCCGCAGGTGGTGGTGGTGGAGGAGGAGGAGGAGGCCAGGCTGGGTGTCGGCTGGGCAGCAGCCGGAGAGGCGTCATTGGTTGGGCAAGAGAGGAGAGCGGGAGAGAGAGGAGAAAGAGGGGGAGAGAGAAAAGGAGGAGAAAGAGGGGAAAAGAGGACAGAGAGGAGAGAGAAGGAGAGAGAAGGAGACAGAGAGGAGAAAGAGGGGGAGAGAAGGCAAGAGAGGAGAGCGGGAGAGAGAAAAGGAGGAGAAAGAGGGGGAGAGGGAGAAAGAGAGAGAGAGAGATGCCCACTCCCTGCTTTTTCTCCCCCAGGTGGATGAACTGATGCGGGAGGAGCTTCAGCACCTGCGCCTGGCTGTTGACCAGGAGGAGACCAGGACTCAGAAGGCCCCCAAGAAGGGCACCAAGGTCAGGTCAGGGGGAGCGTGGGGGGACCCCAAACCCCACCCTCCACCCTTGGTTGATAGAAAATGTTCCCTTTCTCGAAGCAGACAAAGAAAGGGAAGAAGGAGAAGGACCTGACGCCAGACAGGTACGCTGCCCCCCTCCTGCCCCAAAGAGTTCCCGAAGGGACTGGGACTCCCTCTGGGTGTCTGTCTGTGTGTGTGTGTGTGCGTTCCCCCCACCCAGCATCATCCCGCAGCCTCTCTTTCAAGCCACCCACCCTGCAGCTTGTCTGTTCCCACCCCCAGGAAGAGGGTCCCTGGCTGTCCAGTCGGGCTGCCCCATGCCAAAAATGTGTCACGATTCGGCTTGTCGCTTCACTGGATAACATTTGGTGCCTCTGATGGAGGGCCATGTCATCTCTTTGATGCTTTCGCCACCGAAAACTAATAGGGCTGAGCCCCCCCCCCCCCCCCGTGGAAACTCCAGCACCCCCCTTCCTCTCTGCTGTGCCCTGAATCCTGCAACGCTTGGGAACTTCGGGGCGTTTTAGGAAGACGCTTTTAAGGTGCCGGACGCAGAAGAGATCCTGGGGACACTGGGGGGGGGGGAGAGTTGGTTGGCCTCCTCCTGCCTTAGGATTGCCCTCCATTTCTTGCTAAGCCTTTCCCCAGAGAGCCCCACAGACGCCCCCTCCCCCCCACACACATATGGCAGGCGTGGGCAAACCCTGCCCCAAGGAGACTAAGTGGCCTCTCAGGTGCCTCCTCCCCCCTCCCCCCCCCNGTTATGTGAATTTCGTTGTATGTGTAAACTGTATACCATGACAATAAAGTAAAGTAGAAGTGTCAAAATATGTATGGAAATGAGAGGCGCTCTGGCTCCAATATTTTTAATGTGTATTTCATAAAAACTTTTTTTTAAATCCTTCTCCCAGGTGACGCCAACCCTCCTCCCGGCCCCCAAGCAGCCGGTGAAAGAGCCAAAGGGACGTGGGATGGGGCGAGGGAGGGGGGCGCTGAGCCATCCCGAACCGGTGTGGAGAGAGCGGAGACGTCTCGCTCCAGACCGCCGGCCTTCCCTGCCAGGCAACCCGCGTGCTTGAAGCCAGTCTTGCTGGGTCTGCAGCCCACTCCGCACTCGGTGCAGCTGGCGGTGGGGGAGGTCTCGCGTGCTAGGTACCCCACCCGCGCCCATTGACATTTTCGCGCGTGGACTCGCTGCCCTGCAAGGTAGGCCAGGCCTGTCGCCCTCCGGGTTCGCCCGTCTCTATGGGAACGGGATGGGGGTGGGGGACAATGCTGGTGGGCGGGGCTTACACTCCGGCCTGCGAAGCGCGGGGCTCGGGGCGCAGATCCGGGCGGGCTAATCATGGCTAACAGGTGGGTGAGAAGGCGCCGCCGCCCTGCGCTGGGGGAGGAGGAAGGAGGGGGTGCAACCGCCCACCTGAGCGCCTCGTGTCCGTCCGCAGCACCTACGGGAAGCTGTGGCTGGAGTCGCGGCGGATCCTGAAGGAGCTTTTGGATCAGGAACTGTCCGCCGAGCCCAGGAAGCCCGAGAAGAACCGGGCCGTTTTCTGGCACCGGCTGGCCACCCTCTTCCTGCGCTACGTGCAGGTGGCGCGGCGCCTGGAGGCCTGCTACGACCAGGTGGTGCATCCGCAGAAGCGCCTGGCGCTGCGCCCGCTGCTGGACAGCGTGCTGGGACGCATCTTGGAGCTGAAGCAGGAGCTGGTGCAGCTGGACCGCTCCGAGTACCACTACATGGACCACGTGCTGGAGGAGCTCAAGCTGACGCCGGTCAGTCGAGGGTCGGGGGGGAGCTGTCTCCCCTCCCCCACGCGCCCCTGTCCTGGAACCGACCCCAACGAGGCCAGCAAACCTATAAAGCGCGGGCGCCCCCACCCTCCATCCCAGGAAGCCTCGTCCTGCTCCTACAGGAGGGGTCACCAATACCCCCCCCGACCACCGCCCATTGCTATTTGCGCTGCGGTGGCTCTATTTGCGCTGCGGGGGTTCGTGCTTCCACTCGCGCAAATGGAGAGCACAACCCTCCGATCTCCCCCCCCCCAACACACACACACACACACACACAGGTCCTCAAAGCCGGAAAGTTTGGGATCCTCTGCCCAGTGTTTAAATTGAGTTCATTTTGCTGAGGGCATTTCAGATGAATAGAGTCGGAAGGGACCTTGTAGGTCATCTAGTCCAACCCCCCCAAGCCGGACACCCCACATCATTTTTAACAGATGGCAGCAGTCCAGTTTCTTTTTGAAAGCTTCCAGTGATGAAGCTCCCACAACTTCGGAAGGCAACTGCAGATCCATTGGTTGATTGTTCTCGCTGTCAGAAAATTCCTCTTTATTTCCAGGTTGAATCTCTCCTTGGTCAGTTTCCACCCATTTTCTGGCCTTCAGGTGCTTTGGGAAACAGCTTGACCCCTTTCCCCTCCCTGTGGCAGCCCCTCAAATATCAGGAGGTTGCTATTATCATGGCCCCCCTGGTCCTTCTCTTCACTAGACCAGCCATGCCCAGTTCATCGGATGTTTTAGTCTCCTAATCATCTTGGCTGCTCTTCTCTGCACTCTTTCCAGTCTCAACCTTTTTTTCATAGTCTGGTGACCAAAACTGGGTGCAGGGTTTGTCACTACGCAATAAAAAGATGCTGGGACTCTAGAAAGAGTGAAGAGAAGAGCTCACCCCCTGAACACGGAGGAGGAGAGGTAAAACTAGGAAGAGGCAGAGGGGAAGGCAGTTTTGAGCTTTGTCAACGTTTTGGACTGGAGCCCACTTGGAATTTCTGGCTCCTTTCAGCTTAGAACTGCTCCAAAGGAGGCCCGGAGATCAGCTGATAGGCAGGGGAAGGAGAAGTCCAAAAGTTAGAATGGATGACCTCACAGAAAGAGTAATGGGCCCTTTTGGGAGCAACTTCCAGCAATCAGTAAGTCACGTGTGGGATAAACACATGTCCTCCGTCACCCAGGCAAAATTTAAAAAATGAAATCCAGGGGAAAGAAAGAAAACGTATTTTTAAAAATAAGGGAGAAAATGGACCCTCGGGTCTTTTCCTCGGTTTCTGTGAGAGTGTTCCTGCTGCCCCCCCTTCTCCTTGCGCCCCCCCTCCCCTGAGTAGCTGTTGTTTGGGCTAATCCAGGCCTCCAGGTGCCCAGTGGAGCCAGCCTCTCTATCTGCCCGTCCCAGACTAGCCAAGAAAGACAGTGCCAGGGCACCAGGGGAGAGATTCACAGCAATTTAAGGTGGTCTTGGGCTAATCCTACCCCCTTGGGACCATCCACCGGCTGTACTGACCATGGAACGATTTACGGCACTTGCCCGGGATAAAACCCACCTGGGTGGAATCTGGGGGTTTAGGGGAAGGCAAGAGATCAAGGAACTGGTTGTCAAAGTCTGCTGGGAGGAGGATTTGTAGTTCACACTCTGACACCCATTTGCCCCAGAATGGGCATCAAGCAAGAAGAGCAGATAATCCACCCACGTTGCCAGTCCAGCTTCAGCTATCTTGAGGGGTGAGGGTGCCCATGCAGTTGGCGGGGGGGGGGGGGTTCTCTCCTCTGGCTTTGTGGCTGGCCCCTTCAGTGGGTCACTACAGCGGGGGTCAGGGGTCTGCCTCACCCACTCAGTTGGGCCGTAGCATGACTGGGGTACCCAGGTGGCCTTCAGTTCCCAGGCAGATGGCTCCAGGCAGAGCTCACATCACTGGCAAATTGGATCAGTGCCCCTCAACTCTCTTCTACAACGCCTTGCAGAAATAAAACCATTTCTTTATTTAGCAATGCAGAGGTTGCCTAAATTCTTAGCAGCTGGGGGAGGGGGGGGGCTTAGGACGGATAACAACACAGGGAGACCCAAGGAAAGGGGCAACCAGAAGTAGGACACCCCCAGGGCTGTTCAAGAGGAATAACAGAGGACCCCCAGCCCAACCCCCAGCCCTTTGCACAGCAGATAATCCAGGATGGAGGCCTGCAGGCAGCGCTTGGTCAGACTCCCCTGCGAGCTGAAAGGCCCACCCCAAATCTCAAGGCCGTCCCGCAGAGCTGCACCCGCTTTTGTTCTCAGTCGAGTTTGGCAAGCAAGAGACTCCTCCGAGTGTCCCAGTTTGAACCAGGAGAATCTCTCTTTCTGGAGATTCAGAACCTTCTCCGTTAATCCAGAGGCCGGGATCAGCAGGAGGGGAAGTGGGCCTCTGGTCCTTGGTCTTCAGGCTGTGAAGCCCACAGCCAAGTCTCACCAATCACACTCTGTGGTCGCATTGCAATTTTATGCTTTAAAATGTGGGTTGCTGTTGTTGTTTTGTTATTTCAACTTAGGGACTTATTGGAGGGCAAGCAAAATCCCTTGGACTTCCTGCCTAAGCAGGGGGGTTGACTAGAAGATCTCCAAGGTCCCTTCCAACTCTGTAATTCTATTCTAGTATATACACCGCTTCAGCTTCACGGTGCTTTCCAGCCCTCTCTCAGCAGTTTACAGAGTCAGCCTCTTGCCCCCAACAATTTGGGTCCTCGTTTTACTCACCTNCCTTTCCTTTTTCTCCTTTTCTTCTTTCAAACCTCTCCACTTCCCATTTCCTGGCACATCTCCAGGTGAGTTTTCTTCTGGGGGGGTGAGTTGGCCCCACGTCCAGTTGCACAGGGGGAGCTGTCCTCCGCCTACCTGGAGGCACCCGCCTGGCCATGCCCACCAGGTCCTCCTAGGCCCGTCAGAGACGGTGTCTCTCCTTCAAGCCCGTAAGGCTGGCGGGGCCCAATCCAGACAGCAGCGGGAGGGGGAGGGGATGGAGCTCATTTCAGCTGCAAGGAAGGAGGCCTGGTGCTGGGAGACCTCCCTGCCAGTCACTCGTGAAGCTTCCCTGGCACTGCCGGGTCTCCGGTGCTGGAGGTGAGTGAGAGGCCGAGTGGCGCATCACGGAGGCCGGACGGTTCCGCGAAAAAAGCAGGCATGGCTGAAAACGGCTTCTCTGCAGCCGGCCAGGATCTCAGCGAGAGCAACGGAAGCACTAAATTGTCAGGCCCCGGGCACAAATCTTGCACACCACGGACGCTTGTGAATCGCATTTCACACGAGGGTCCCCAAAAGACCCCCGAGGAGGAATTCTGGCCCTGTCTGAAGTGGGAGTCGGTTTACCTCGGGACAGGATGCCCGGAGATTTCTCCCAAAGGACATAATTCCCAAAGGACAATTTTGCATTATGAGTTCTTGCTCCAACAAAAGTGTGCAATACTTACATTAATTGTAACAAATAACTGCTATGGTTGTGTGGTCTTATTCCCCAAATGCCTGCCTTGTGTGGAGGGGATTCGGGGGGCCCCTTCAGAGGAGGAGATTGGGGGGGGATGGTCCCTGGGGAGACACCCCCCATCTTCCCCCCCCATCAGGCATTGCAGAGGGTTCATGTAGCCACCCTAGCAAGCCCAGCCTCCCCCGAGACCCTCCGAGGCTTCCAGCTGCCTCCGTTCCGAGCCTCTGCTTGACTCCCCCCCTCCTCATCGGCTCCAGGGGTTCTTTGCTGGGCTGAGTGTGGGGGTCCCCTTGCCCTGGGGGCCTTCCCCACCTCCTTCAGCTGAGGCTGCAGCAGCACCCAAGGGGCCCCCTTGTTTCTCCTCCAGGACCATTGATTCTCTCTACGAAGAACTGGTGTTCCAGGGCATTATTAAGAAGCCCCCAAAGGTGCAGCTGGCCGATTACTCAGGTCAGTGGCCATGGCCCCATCCCTCTCCTGGTCAGAAGCCCCCCACCCAATGGTTGAGGACCTTGGCAGGAAGCAGCCCGTAAAGTTCTCTTGCTCTGTGGCTGACCAAAAGCAGAGGCTGTGGAACATGGGTGGCGTGGCCATGTCCCCCTCTTTCTCATCCTCGGTCTGGTTCAGCTGCCCGCTGGGTGCTCGGGGGTCCATGGGGGCTTCCTGATGGTAGAAGCTGGAGCGTCTCTTGGCTGGATGTTGTGCCACTGGCCGATGCCTTGGTGGAGATGCCCCTCCCGTTGCAGGTCCCGGATGTCTGCCTGCTGGGGCTGTTTGGGGGGCTTGGTTCTGATATTTGGGGGTTGTCCATCAAGTGCACTTCCCATGGTGGTGTCCGCTTCAGGTGTCCTTGTAAACTCCCACCCTTCCCCTTACAACTCAGCGGCCAAAATGCCACTGGTCACCCAAGACAGGAACCTGAGCTCAGATGGCAGAGAAGCTGCTTCGTCCTGTTTTTTGGCCCCTCCCCTTTGTGGAGCCACCTGGGCTTAGCTTCAAGTGGCAGCTGCAGCTCTGGCACCTGCCCCTTAAAGTGTGCAGGAGGGCGCAGGCAGCACCCTCGTCCCAGCCAACAAACCGTCACCTATGCTGAACAATCCAGGTTAAGGTTTCCGGCTCTCCCAGCTTTCCCATCACCCTGAACCATGCGGGGGAATTGAGCGGATAAACCCTGCCATCCTCAGCCAGCCGAGCCCTCTGAAGGTGGGTGGAAAGGCTCTGCTGCGGAGGGTGGAGGCTCAAGGGCGGCTCGGGGACTCCGGCAGCCCCCCCCCAAGTGGTCTTTTGCTTCAAGGAGCAGAAGGATGGCTTCTCCCCACAGGTGCCAGGGTGGCCCCAACCAGATGCAGACAAGAGGGCCCTTCTCCTGGGGGGGAGGCCTGCAAGGGAAGGGCAGTGAGGAAGGGCCCTTTGCCCGGAGCTTGGCATTGTTCCCAAATTCTTTCTGCCCTGGTTTTCAATTTCAATCCTTAGCCTGCTGAGCGCGCATGTCTGTGAACATCCCTCTCCTCTGTCACTCTGTGGATACCTGGCTCATCCTGTGAAGTGGAGGGAGTCTGGATCCGGTGGCACAGAGTGTCAGTCATGCTGGACCAGGGAGAGATTCCCCCACAGCTGAAACCCTCCAGCCCCATTGGAAGGCTGCCTAGCTGCCCCTGCGGAGGCGACCCTGGTGCCTGGGTCCCAGTAAGGCCTGTGGGATGCCCAGCTCCTCCCCATCACCCCCCTCCCCCCAGTTAGACTCAGCCTGGCACAGTTGCTGTTGGTGCCCGGCAGCTTAGCTGGCCCTCCTGGGTTGGAGACCCCTGCCGTCCCTCCGTCCCCTGTCCTGGAGCCCTTCGGAAGAAACTCCAGCATCGGCTTCCCTTGCAGGGGATTTCTGCTACCTGGGGGCTCTCTTGCGCCAGAAGAACATCGAGCCCGTTCCTTCCATGCTGGACGTCCGGCAGAACATTGTCCTCTACGCTATCCTTCCTTTGGGTAAGCCAGTAAGTCTCCCCTCCGGCCTTGGGGGGTGCCTGGGTCAGTTGGGAGCCTTTGGGCCCCAGTCCTACTCCAACCTTCCTCTCTCTCTCTCTCACCTCTCCCTCCCTCCACCTTCTCTCTCTCTCTTCCCTCCTTCTCTCTCTTCTCTCCCTTCTCCATCTCCTCTCTCTCTCTCTANGGGGGGGGCTGGTCCTTCGCTGTCTCCTCCAGGGCTGCCCCACAGGCCACATCTAAGCACCTTGCGGGCCGTATGGAGCTCCTGGGCCTTGAGTTTGGCACCCCTAGTCTGACCGAATTAATTGGATTAGAGACTGCTGGGTGGTGATGGGGGGAAACACGGTTATCCCTCCCTTCCCCCGCAGGGTGTCTCTTGTGGGCTGTTCCACTGCATGAACCATCGTCCGAGAGGGGGGGGAAGGAGGGAAAGAGATGACCTTCCCAAAGGCAGCCAGTCAAACTTTATGAGCAGCCCATAAAACGACGTCAGAAAAATGAGTCAGCCGCACTGAGGACTGCAAAGCCAGCCGGGGCCAAGAGGGGGCCTGTGACTGCAGCAAAATATCCAATAGGAATCATCGTCTTTTAATGACCCATAATCCTTTGCAGGGTGGCGCCTGGGCACCTGAATAGGGCTGAGGGTTTACTGGCTGGATGCCCTTCCCTGTCACCAATGTGGAGTTTTGTTCAGCGGATGAATCCTGATTGTGTCCAGAGAGAGAAATATCTGCGTCTACCTAGGCTTGAACTCACAGCCTCCTGAGCTCCACCTCTAGGCCACCACAAAATATCCCATGGGAATATTCTAGGAAAATGTGTTGTCAACAAATGTGGATGCTGTAGGGCGGAGTTCCCGACCTTTCCTGCTTGTTGGCCCAGAGCGGAAGGAGGGAGCGGAGGGGAGGGGAAGGGGGATGGCATTGTGAGAGAGCCAGGTGCGTGTGTGTGAGCACCCGTTGGGTGAGTGGGGCCACGGGCGCTCGTGCGAGTAAGGCCCCAGCACCCTAGATATTTGCACTCATCTGGCCCCGTAGCTAAAAGGCCGTGGGTCGTGACCCACAGGTTGGAAGCCCCTGTTCCAGTGGACTCTGAGCAGTGGATGCACCCGGCTGCTGGCGCAGTGGGTTGGAGGGCAGCGTTGCATATTGGTGGCCCCTGGGATTTAAAATTACGGATTTAGCCGTCCCTGAGGTCCAAAGAGGTTGGTGACCCCTGATCTCGTCCCACCCACCTGCCCCCATTCCTGGCAGAAGGCAGCCCAGACTTCCTCTCGAAAGTCTCTGGGGATGAAGCTCCCGTCTGTTCCAGGGGTTGGCTGATCTCCCCCCTGCCAGAGGGCCAGGCTTGGCACGGAACCCGGGCTGCCTTGGCACGCAAGTGGAATATATTTTGGGAAGCCATGACCCACCGGCAGATGATCTAATTCTGGCTGCCAGAAAAAGGCTATTTATAGGGGCTCCGTCAGGGGCAAGGAGAGGCTTCGCCCGGTGGCTGCTTGCTGGAGGCTGCAGTTCCTCCAGGAGGGCCATGGCACGCTGCCCCTCCTTCTCCGGCCCTTCCAGGAAGGACTTCCAGGAGCTGCGGGAGGAGCCCAGGCCTGGCAGGGGGGAGGGCCCCCAGATGGCCAGGGCCCTGCAGAGCAGGAGGGCGCAGGAGGGGCCCCTGGAGTGCCGGGACCCCGTGGTGCACAACGCCCTCTACACGGGGAACCTGGCCGAGGTGCAGCGCCACTTCTCCCAACGGTCGGCGGTCAACCTGCTCATCCACGCCGAGGGTCCGGACCTGCGCTGGACCAGCCAGAAATGGGGTAAGAGCAGGAGCGAAGCTCGGAGGCTTCCAGGGTGCTGCTGCCGCCGCTGCACCCCTGCGCGGCCGATGCTGAGCTGGCTGCAAACTCAGGGGGGGCAGGCTGAGATCTGCCTGCCATCTGTCAGAAATGGTGTGGGGTCTCCTGCTTGGGCAGGGGGGTTGGACTAGATGACCTACAAGGTCCCTTCCAACTCTGCTAATCTGCAATCTGTAAATCCCACCCCCACGGCCAACTTTCTGCGGCCAAATCCCCGTGGGACAGTTTGAACGATTCGATGGAATTATTCAAAATAATTAATAAATTATTATTTTTCCCATTCCCATTTCATTTTCTCCCTGTTCTTGGCGTCTTTTCTTGGATGATTCTATTCCACCATTTCTTGGACATTAACCGAAATGTGCTTGTTTTCAGGAGGCCTCTGGACTTCCTGTTTCCCTTCCTTTCTCAAGACGCTCCTTCTTGTCCCCGAAGCGTCTTCAGCTCTGAGAAGATGGGAGGGAAGGGGGGAGGATTGGGGGGGCGATTGGTCTCCCTTTGAGGCAGCAAGAAACCTCTTCAAGAAGCAAAGGACCCAGAAATTCCTGAAAACAAGCAGCTTTGGGACAAGCAGGACCAGGAGGGGGAAGAGATTAACTTAACTCTCCTCCTGCAATGAGTTGGCTGAATTATCCCCCAACCTGCCAAAGACCTCCCAGCCTGCTTCTCTCTCCCACCTGGAGGAAGGGCTGGCTAGGAGGCCCGGAAGTGAGCTGCCCCACTGCAGAGGTTGCCCCCCCCCCCGGCTGCCTCCAGAAGGGAAGGGTCCGGTGGGAGTGGGCCGCCTCCTGTCCATCTCAGCCAAAAGCTGCCAGGGCTCCATCCTCCTCCTCCCTGGTCTCTCCAGGGGGCAAAATCTGCTTCATCTCATGGTGGGGGGGGGGCACACCTTGAGGCAAACTGTCAACAAATCTTTAAATAAGTTTATTGTTTAAAAGTAGTTCAACTCTAAGCTTCTTAGGTGAAGCTTCTTGGACCTTAGAGGTCTTCTAGTCCAGCCCCTTCTCAAGTAGGAGACCCCAGACCATTTCAGACAAGTGGCTGTCCAGTCTCTTCTTAAAAGCCTCCAGTGACAAAGCGCCCACAATTTCTGGTAGCAAGCAGTTCCACTGGTTAATTGAACTCACTGTTAGGAAGTTTCTCCTCAATTCCAGGTTGCATAGTTTAGTTTCCATCCATTGTTTCCTGTCCTGCTTTCTGGTCCTTTGGGAAATCGACCCTCTCCTCTCTGTAGCAGCCCCTCAAATACTGGAATACTCTATTCCAATAATATAATAATATAATCTCATAAATAACAAGGACAATAATATATTAATTTATAATACTACTACTAACAATAGCAGCAGCAGCAGCAGCAGCAGTAGTAGTAGTCCAGAACCAAAGTGATTCCTGAGAGGAAATGGCTCTTAGTAACCCTAATCCCCCCTCCTCCCCCCCAAAACCCTCCAAGATCTACACTAGCTGAGCTTTCCCGGATTGTCTGAGCGCAGCTGCTGGGCCCGACTCGCCTGGTGCTTAAGCACTACGGCCTGGTATATAAACTTCTATAAAAGTAGATGCTTCTTGCTACGGGACCTTCCAGGTGGCGCACTCCGGGGGCCGCTCCGATCGGGCAGGGAAGCCCCCCCCACACACACACACACGCCGGCTCCCCTTGGCGCACTTGAACGCCGCTCCTGCCGGCCCAGGCGTTGCCCTTCCCCAGGCGCCAGGTCAGGTGTTCCAGGGTTAAAGCTCCCCGCCGCCGGGGACACCGTCCGTCTCCCTCCGGGGAAGAGGCGCAGCCATGGAACCCATCTCGACGCTCAGGGCGCGGGGAGGGGCGCAGGCCTTCTGGCAGGCCCTGCTGGCGGGCGACGGCTGCACCCTTCTCTGCTGCCTGAGCGACCCCGAGAGCGGCGTGGGCCCCAACTCCGTCTTCGACACCAGCGATTCCCACGAGTGGCAGCAGTATCGCTCCAGTGCCCGCCAGCTGCGTGCGTGGCGAGAGAGCGCGCGGAGTGGGGCCGGCCAGCTTCACGGAGAAAGGGAGGGCGGCAGCTGTGGGCGCGGGGGGGTCCCACTCCCGCCCCTTCTCCCTCTGCGGGGGTGGGGAGCTGGGGCTGGGAAGGCCGCCCACCCCCAGAGGCTGCCCCGAGGCTCAGGCGGCTGACCCTCCGCCTTCTCTCCGCAGGGCTGTGGTCTCTGACCTACGAGCAGGAGCTCACCACGCCGCTGCACATCACGGCCAGCCGCGGCTACCTGGACTGTTTGCGCCACCTGCTGCTGCGCGGAGCCGAGGTGGATCTGGCGCCCGGTGGACAGACCGCCCTGCACGCGGCTTGCGCAACGGCCACCGCCGACTGCGTCCGGCTGCTGCTCTCTTTCGGCGCTGACCCCGGGGCTGTCTCCGAAGGCGGATTTCAGCCGCTCCACCTCTGCCGGAACCCCGCTTCGAGCGAGTGAGTAGCTCCGCCTCGCGACGCCCCGCAGAGCAAGAGCCGAGGGCTCGCCCTGAGCAGCCGGCTGCGGAAGAGGAGGGGAGGGGGCTTCGGAAAGCTTTGGGGCGTTTGAAAGTACCCGGCCGTTAGGTCCCCAGAGCCGGGTTTCCAAATTCCATGCCGCGTTTCCCCCCTTTTGGCTCTTTGAATTGTTGCAAAACGGGGCAGTTGGAAGCCGGTGGAAGCAAGAGTCCGATCCACTGGCTCGTGCCAAATCCCGCAGCGCTCTTTTGGATCCGGCTTCTCCCAGGTGTCGGGGCAGGGGCCTCCCGCCGGCGCTTTCTAGCCCTAGACGCGCACGGGCGGCCAGCGGGAAGGAGAGGCCGCTAGGCCGTGTCTCGGAACCAGCCGCGAGGCCCGCGAGTTCTGTGCGAGAACCGGGGGCACAACGGGGGGCTGAGCAATGCTTCTCCACCACCCGCTCAGCCCTGAGGTAGCCCGTTCTGTCTGCGTGGGGCCGAGGGGGCTCCCGCGCATGGGACTCCTTGACTTTCCCTTTCTCGAGTAGTGGAGCCGCCACACCCAAAGGGAAGGCAGCCGCGGCCGCTCGGGATGTCGCCCAGCCTCCCGCGAAGCGATGCGACGCCTTCTGTGTTTGCTGGAAGTGTTTTGGCCCAAGAATCGCTGGCGGCCGCCAGTGGGAGCCCTCCACGGCGTCCCCTGGGCCCCCAAATCACCCAGCCGTCCTCGTGACGGAATGGGACCAGTTGCCACGGCCCACTCTCCGCGGGGGACAATTCGCTGTGCAGGACAATTGGACAATTTAATGATTTAAAATCAATTAAAAAAACATTTTAATTTGTGTCCTTCGCATTTCATCCCCTCCTCCTTTGGCATCGTGTCTTCAATGCTTTTATTCTACCCGATAAAAAGAAATATTTACTGGATATCGGGGTAACTCTCGTTGCGCAGGGAGTTGTTCCGCGGCGAGTTGTCCCGGCCTTCCCTCGCTACCTTTCCCCGCTGCCCACCGAAGCGCCTTCTGCCCCCTAGGTTGAGCGTGGCGGGCAGCCCTGGGGCCCGCGCCACACTGACCTCTGCTCCGAGACAGCGCCCGGCCTTGGACGTCGTTTCATAGAAAAGAAGAGCTTGGGCGCAGCGGTGGGGGGGGGGGAGGGAACGAGGTGGGGCCGCTGCGTAAAAGGCGCCCGGGAGCCTCTTCAGCTCAGCGGTGGGGAAAAGGCCCTTTAGGAAACGACGGGGCCGAAAGCGAGTGTCGTCTCCCGGGCTACTCTGAATAGCCCTGGGCAGGAGAGGCGCCAGAGGCTTCGGGGGTCACCAATCCTCGAGTCCGCCTTCCCCGCTGAGATGCCGGCTTAAAGAGGACTCCGTGTGTCGGGCCTTTCCTTGCGGGGGAGCGGGCTGGCGAGAAAGAAAGGCGGGCCCCCAGAGCGGGAGCTGCGCTTGGGGAAGGGGTCGGGCCGCGGTTTCGGCCGGGTTTGGGGTCTCAAGAAAGACCCGCCAGCGTCACTCCCTTCCCCGCTGTTTCCCCCCGTTCCAGGTGCGCCCGCCTTCTGCTGAGCCACGGGGCGGTGGTGAATTGCGCGTCCGAGGAGGAAGGGGATACCCCGCTGCACGTGGCGGCTCGGCTGGGCTTGGCGGAGCACGTGCGCCTCTTCCTAAGCCACGGAGCCGCCCTGGAGGCCAAGAACGCCGAGGGGGAAACACCGCTGATCTCAGCCTGCGCCCTGGCCCACTCCGCCCAGGCGGCGGACGCGTACTACGAGGTGTGCCGGCTGCTAGTGGAAGCCGGCGCCCGGGTGAACGCCGCTGACCGCGACCGCCAGCGACCGCTGCACCAGGCCTGCAAGAACGCCAACTCACGCGTGGTGGCGCTGCTCCTGGCCCACGGCGCCAACGTCAACATCATGAGCTACAGCGGCAACACGGCGCTCCACAACGCCCTGCAGGTGGCGGCCTACCGCCTGGAGCACCGGCCGGAGTTGGTGGTGCGCCACCTGCTCAACCACGGCGCGGTGCGCGTCTGGCCAGGCGCGCTACTCAAGGTGCGAGTCCACCCGGTGGCCACGCGGGACGAGGAGGCGACGGCCTAGCAGGAACCGCGGCTTGTTCGCCTCCCTAAAGTCTCCCGGGGACGAGACCGCGAGGCCTCCAACTCCCCTCTCCCCCTACGCAGGGGGACGGCCGGACTGCAAGGGGCGCGGGGGGAGTCCACGCTGGTGATTGCCTGTCCTCGGGGATCACGAGGCTGCCGCGCTTAAGGCCGCGGCCGGCTCTCTTTGGCCAGGCCCGTGAAGAAGAGAACAGATGAACAGTTGGAGGGGACCTTGTAGGTCATCTAGCCCAACCCCATCCTCCCAAGCAGACCCTTCACCATTTCTGACAGAATGGTTCGAGCTGGGCAGCGCAGGGCAGTCCAGACGTGCAAACCTAGGGTGCCCAGAGGCTGCCCACGTCCCTTCGGGCTCTTAGTCACGGAGCTGCCAACTTCGGGATTTGGGTTACTGTCTCCGCTGGCTAGGAAATTAATTGGGGGATTCGTGGAGAGGCAGAATGGATACAGGCTTGGCCGCGTCCTCTAAAGCCCAAAGGAAACGTGGGCGCCCGCGCACCCCACTCTTGGACTTTCTTAAGCCAACTCGATTCTCCGGGCTCGAGGCTCTCTTGGCCAAGCGTGAGATTCGGGCCAGCAGCCACACAGTCAAGCAGCGGCCTGGCGGGAGGGAGGAGGCGGATTCAGCGTTTCTGTTAACCGGGGGTTGCGCTGCCGTCATCTCCGCCCTGGTTGTAATGGGTGCGAATTGCAGCGCTCTTCCTTTGGGTCCCGATGGCGGAAGGGGTGGGCGGGCTCGTAGGTACCCCAGGAAAGCAAAGGCAAGCAATTCTCGCCCCCCCAACGCCTCTTCTTTGGCCACTTCTGCGCTCTTCCCCAACCTTTAGCGCCGTCTTCACGCGGGGATTCGGGCCCGAGAAAGCCAAACTGCTCTCAACACTCACAGCCCGCTTCTCTTCCTGCCTNCCCCTCACCCTCACCCCTGCCCCCCCTCCTCGCCCTCCGCAGTGTCCTGGCAGCGGCTGATACAGAGGCATGGCGGGGAGGTCACCAGCAGCCTGGACCTGAGCGGCCTGGCGAAGGTGTCGGACAGCTACAGCCAGGGCAGCCTGGCCAGGGCCGTGAAAATGGTGCTGACCGAGCGGCGCCTCCTGCAGCTGGTCAAGAAGCCCCTCGTGGCCAGCGAGTTCCTGCAGATGCTGGGCAGGGCGGACCCCATCTACCCCGAGGAGCTGGGGCTGCTGCAGGTACCCCCCCTCCCTCCCCTCGGCCTCCGCGGGCCTTTCCCAAAGGGAAGCATTTATCAGGAGGGCCTGTCAGAGGGCACCTTTTCAGGCCGGCTCTGGTGACGGCCGGCGGTTCGATCCCGGCCAGCTCAAGGTCGACTCAGCCTTCCGTCCTTCCGAGGTTGGTAAAATGAGGACCCAGATGACGGAGCTCTTTGGGACTTTTTCCACCTGGTCCTCTTCGTGCCCCACTTCAGCCGCCCACCCAACCTTCAGAGGGGGTTCCTCCGCCAGCCTCACCGGGGGGCGCCTCACCCTCTTCCCCTGTATAAAGCCGGCAGTGTCATCCCCCCACCCACCCCCAGGGCAGAGAGGGCAGCCAGGAGGCCAGGAGGGCCCATCCAGCCACCCGGTGGGTGAAGGTGCCCTTTGGTGTCTTCCCACAGGACTGGTACGACAAGACTCCGCTGGGCAGAAGGAAGCTGGAGGAGGAGGAGGAGAATCTGCCAGCGGGCCCAGAGAAGCCGGGGCAGCAGAAGAAGTGACGCCCCTGGCGGCCACAGAAGCACAATTCTGCAGAGGGCAGAGGGGTCTCTGGGGGGGGGGGTGTTGCATTAAGAATGACCCTGGCACGGCGCCCAGGACAAGGAACCCAGCACTGCCTTTTGGTGGCTCTGTGGGAGGTGGGGTGGGGAAGGGGGCCCCTTGTGGGGAGTCCAGAAAGCCTCATGGCCACCTTGAGCCAAGAGGGCACAGAGGGCAGAGGGGTAGGAAGAAAGGAAGAAGTGGTGGCAGCCGAGCAGCTGAGGGCACAGGGAGGCAGAGGCTCGATCCCCGCTTCCCGCCAGACCCCTCTACTGGACAGGAGGCCTGGCTGGGGGAGGGGTTTGCAGGACCCCCTAACCCCTGCCAGGCTGTGCGTGGGCAGGATCAGGGCCCGGCTGCAGGGACCCTCCAGAATGGCTGACAGGGGGCGAGCAGGACTGCCCGTGTGGGCCTTGCAAGCAATCCTCACCACCCATCGGGTGGCCCAAGAAGACCCTTCACTGGAGCCCCATCCAACCCTGAATCCGAACCCCCTTCCTATTGGGACATTGGAAGCCTCTCCCCCCCCCCGCCTGTCAGGCCCCCAAGGGCGGAGGAAACCTTGGAAACCTGCCCAGCTCATACCCAAGTGTTGCCCTCCACAGCTGCCCAGCCCCTGGGAAGGGGTCCTCCTGGACCACGCGTTTCCCCCAGCACGCAGCCCCACTAGCAGGGACTGAAGGAGAGTCTGTCTTGTGCCAGCAGAAGGACCCATTAGCCCAAGAACTCTGGCCCTCTCCCCTCCTCAGAAGTGGGGTCCCTGTGCTTGAAGAGGTGCCACCTCAGGGAGCCGGAGGTCTGCTCTCTGCGTGGCCATGCCCACTCTAGGAAGGCATAGGAGGGGCTGCAGCCGGTGCTCCCCCCCCCCCGAGGTCATCGTAACGCCTGGCGTGACCGTCCAGACATCAACGGGCCTTTCCGCCTTCCGCATGAAGCACCCTGCCCCTAAAGCGAGCTAGGGGGACCCTGCCTGGGCAGACTTGGAGCCCGTCTTTTGCCCCGGCCTGAGTGCTCTGCCAGCGGGAAAAGGAGCTTGGGGAGGCTGAGGGTTTCGCTGGCAAAAGGTTGGCAGGAGGCCTGGCAGCCGGAAACGGAGCTTGGGATGGACACACGGCCATACAGCCACCCCAGGCTCCATTTTTCCTGGCAGAGGCACCGGGGGGGGGGGGGCTGGTCCTTCGCTGTCTCCTCCAGGGCTGCCCCACAGGCCACATCTAAGCACCTTGCGGGCCGTATGGAGCTCCTGGGCCTTGAGTTTGGCACCCCTAGTCTGACCGAATTAATTGGATTAGAGACTGCTGGGTGGTGATGGGGGGAAACACGGTTATCCCTCCCTTCCCCCGCAGGGTGTCTCTTGTGGGCTGTTCCACTGCATGAACCATCGTCCGAGAGGGGGGGGAAGGAGGGAAAGAGATGACCTTCCCAAAGGCAGCCAGTCAAACTTTATGAGCAGCCCATAAAACGACGTCAGAAAAATGAGTCAGCCGCACTGAGGACTGCAAAGCCAGCCGGGGCCAAGAGGGGGCCTGTGACTGCAGCAAAATATCCAATAGGAATCATCGTCTTTTAATGACCCATAATCCTTTGCAGGGTGGCGCCTGGGCACCTGAATAGGGCTGAGGGTTTACTGGCTGGATGCCCTTCCCTGTCACCAATGTGGAGTTTTGTTCAGCGGATGAATCCTGATTGTGTCCAGAGAGAGAAATATCTGCGTCTACCTAGGCTTGAACTCACAGCCTCCTGAGCTCCACCTCTAGGCCACCACAAAATATCCCATGGGAATATTCTAGGAAAATGTGTTGTCAACAAATGTGGATGCTGTAGGGCGGAGTTCCCGACCTTTCCTGCTTGTTGGCCCAGAGCGGAAGGAGGGAGCGGAGGGGAGGGGAAGGGGGATGGCATTGTGAGAGAGCCAGGTGCGTGTGTGTGAGCACCCGTTGGGTGAGTGGGGCCACGGGCGCTCGTGCGAGTAAGGCCCCAGCACCCTAGATATTTGCACTCATCTGGCCCCGTAGCTAAAAGGCCGTGGGTCGTGACCCACAGGTTGGAAGCCCCTGTTCCAGTGGACTCTGAGCAGTGGATGCACCCGGCTGCTGGCGCAGTGGGTTGGAGGGCAGCGTTGCATATTGGTGGCCCCTGGGATTTAAAATTACGGATTTAGCCGTCCCTGAGGTCCAAAGAGGTTGGTGACCCCTGATCTCGTCCCACCCACCTGCCCCCATTCCTGGCAGAAGGCAGCCCAGACTTCCTCTCGAAAGTCTCTGGGGATGAAGCTCCCGTCTGTTCCAGGGGTTGGCTGATCTCCCCCCTGCCAGAGGGCCAGGCTTGGCACGGAACCCGGGCTGCCTTGGCACGCAAGTGGAATATATTTTGGGAAGCCATGACCCACCGGCAGATGATCTAATTCTGGCTGCCAGAAAAAGGCTATTTATAGGGGCTCCGTCAGGGGCAAGGAGAGGCTTCGCCCGGTGGCTGCTTGCTGGAGGCTGCAGTTCCTCCAGGAGGGCCATGGCACGCTGCCCCTCCTTCTCCGGCCCTTCCAGGAAGGACTTCCAGGAGCTGCGGGAGGAGCCCAGGCCTGGCAGGGGGGAGGGCCCCCAGATGGCCAGGGCCCTGCAGAGCAGGAGGGCGCAGGAGGGGCCCCTGGAGTGCCGGGACCCCGTGGTGCACAACGCCCTCTACACGGGGAACCTGGCCGAGGTGCAGCGCCACTTCTCCCAACGGTCGGCGGTCAACCTGCTCATCCACGCCGAGGGTCCGGACCTGCGCTGGACCAGCCAGAAATGGGGTAAGAGCAGGAGCGAAGCTCGGAGGCTTCCAGGGTGCTGCTGCCGCCGCTGCACCCCTGCGCGGCCGATGCTGAGCTGGCTGCAAACTCAGGGGGGGCAGGCTGAGATCTGCCTGCCATCTGTCAGAAATGGTGTGGGGTCTCCTGCTTGGGCAGGGGGGTTGGACTAGATGACCTACAAGGTCCCTTCCAACTCTGCTAATCTGCAATCTGTAAATCCCACCCCCACGGCCAACTTTCTGCGGCCAAATCCCCGTGGGACAGTTTGAACGATTCGATGGAATTATTCAAAATAATTAATAAATTATTATTTTTCCCATTCCCATTTCATTTTCTCCCTGTTCTTGGCGTCTTTTCTTGGATGATTCTATTCCACCATTTCTTGGACATTAACCGAAATGTGCTTGTTTTCAGGAGGCCTCTGGACTTCCTGTTTCCCTTCCTTTCTCAAGACGCTCCTTCTTGTCCCCGAAGCGTCTTCAGCTCTGAGAAGATGGGAGGGAAGGGGGGAGGATTGGGGGGGCGATTGGTCTCCCTTTGAGGCAGCAAGAAACCTCTTCAAGAAGCAAAGGACCCAGAAATTCCTGAAAACAAGCAGCTTTGGGACAAGCAGGACCAGGAGGGGGAAGAGATTAACTTAACTCTCCTCCTGCAATGAGTTGGCTGAATTATCCCCCAACCTGCCAAAGACCTCCCAGCCTGCTTCTCTCTCCCACCTGGAGGAAGGGCTGGCTAGGAGGCCCGGAAGTGAGCTGCCCCACTGCAGAGGTTGCCCCCCCCCCCGGCTGCCTCCAGAAGGGAAGGGTCCGGTGGGAGTGGGCCGCCTCCTGTCCATCTCAGCCAAAAGCTGCCAGGGCTCCATCCTCCTCCTCCCTGGTCTCTCCAGGGGGCAAAATCTGCTTCATCTCATGGTGGGGGGGGGGCACACCTTGAGGCAAACTGTCAACAAATCTTTAAATAAGTTTATTGTTTAAAAGTAGTTCAACTCTAAGCTTCTTAGGTGAAGCTTCTTGGACCTTAGAGGTCTTCTAGTCCAGCCCCTTCTCAAGTAGGAGACCCCAGACCATTTCAGACAAGTGGCTGTCCAGTCTCTTCTTAAAAGCCTCCAGTGACAAAGCGCCCACAATTTCTGGTAGCAAGCAGTTCCACTGGTTAATTGAACTCACTGTTAGGAAGTTTCTCCTCAATTCCAGGTTGCATAGTTTAGTTTCCATCCATTGTTTCCTGTCCTGCTTTCTGGTCCTTTGGGAAATCGACCCTCTCCTCTCTGTAGCAGCCCCTCAAATACTGGAATACTCTATTCCAATAATATAATAATATAATCTCATAAATAACAAGGACAATAATATATTAATTTATAATACTACTACTAACAATAGCAGCAGCAGCAGCAGCAGCAGTAGTAGTAGTCCAGAACCAAAGTGATTCCTGAGAGGAAATGGCTCTTAGTAACCCTAATCCCCCCTCCTCCCCCCCAAAACCCTCCAAGATCTACACTAG